CATAAAATAAATAAATATTAAGGCAGTGGGTGATTGGAACAGTTGAGCGTACGAGACTTATATGAGAGTATTATGGATATGTATCGTAGATAGGTAGCAATGGTACAGTAAACGATAAAGTACATCGTACAATGTATATTGAGTTAAGAATAAAAGTGTTTCGAGTGAAGGCAACGTTACGAAACATGAGCTCATGCGTCGCGGCGGTGTGGTATACAAATAAACATCATTAAAAGACGAAAACAATATAAAGCAACATTTGTTTTGTTAATTAAATTTTGAATTAAAAAGCGGCTATAATCTCGGCAATGGAGCTACATTTTCGTTCAGAGTGATTAAAATCAACACAGAATCAAAAACTTCAGAAGAAATGAAATTAAAGAATACAGTCCGTTAGCTCGTTCCAGGACGCCAGAAAATTCGCAAAAAATTAAATTTCGTGCAACTTTATAACACTTTTTCGGCTTCAGTACGTATCTTGAGGATAAAAGGAGGCGCAACTTGAAAAATTGCTTGCAAACAAACATAATAATTTTAAGTAATTTTCTTTTCTCCATTTACTTCATTGGCACCTATAAAAGTCGCTATACTAATTGCATTTATTTGGCTTAGAATAATAAGCACAATTCCTCATAAAACCTTTTTTTTAGTGTTAATTATGTTTGTACTTGTATGTAAATTGTATGGAGAGGGAATATCAATTGGGACGAAAGTTCTGTTTTCTTCGCCAGTCACAAAAGTTTTATAAAATGTATATGTTTATATTGTGAAAAATAAACTAAACTAAACTAAGCTAATTTCTTTTAACTTTTCACATTTATATAAGAAACATCAAGAAAAAATAAAAGGAAAAGGAAAAGAAGGAAGAGAAAGAAAGGAAGTCAATGAAAAGAAAAGAGTAATAAAAACTAATAAGTAATAAGAAGATGAGGCAGATGATGATCGCCGTTCACATCGCTTATGACCTTAAATCTAGTAACTACTGTTTGGATATAACTGCAGCATCATTGGAAAGTTTATGCTATCTATTGCTTTTATTGCTTCAAAACGTGTATGGCTCCTCAGTATAACGTTGTGAAGGTTATTCCTGGGAGCGCTTTTTAATAGTTTTTTTAGAGAGTGCGCTCATCACCTTAAACTATTAGCTTGAAAGATTTCCTAAATGAATGACCTGAGCATTGTCTTGGACTCGATCTCTCGATCGCTTTGTGCATTTTGCAAGCCTATTCCATACTGAACTATGGGTCAGGCATCGAAAACATAACACATCCTTAATTTTTCTTTTAAACTCCGGTATTCTGTAAGAGTACACTATCACGTTAATCAAAGAGTTACTCAAAATCAGCAATTTGAGGATCAAATCGTAATATTTTCCCTTAATGTTTATATTAAAAACTTCTCTAATGTTCACGGGAGACCAAGTGACAAGAGAAACCATTGTTACGATAAACAATGTCTTGGCCAGGTTTTTGTTCTCTTGCATGGTCCTTGACTGCTGAATCTTCGTGAAGAATTTAATCTTGATCCAAATGGACAAGTATGATATCAATATGGTGCTGCAAGATACGATTAGGATCGTAAAAGTGAAAACTTGACATATTCTGGAGGTGGACAAGATATCAACGATATAGAGATGGAAGGACACTGGAACTCCAAAGGCAAGCAGCCATACACACCCAATAGCCAAATAGTAGTGCTGTTTTCGTGCAAGTCGATGAGAGAATGGCCAGCATACAGCGATGACTCTCTCAATAGAAATAGCCGAGAGAGATATAATTGAGGCGGTTATACTCCATTGTAACAGAAAGATGGAGCACAATTGAAGGTAAATAACTGAGGGGCTTCCTTCAAAAAAGTAGTCAATGTAAAAAATGCACAGTACTATTGAAGTTGAGCCAACCAACGCATCAGCAAAGCGATGGTGTTAGCGATGAGTATGACAATGCCTATTGCTATTGTCAAACCGCAAGCTAACGTGATATCGTTGTCAGTTAGAACGTGAAGACTTAAAAACTCTGTCAAATTAATTTTTAGTTTCATGGTTATATAGATGGTTTCTTGTGCTGGAAACGGCTTGCTGTTTAGTGGACTAAGAAAGAAAAATAAAAAGAATCAAATGAGTGAAATCGGAAGTTGTCAAAAGTAACACAGAAATTATATAGATTAATAGAAAAGAAAAACAGAAAGTAAGCTAAGCAGTATAGTATAAATTATACAGAGAAAACTGAAAAACAATAGTTTAAATTATAGACGAGAAAGCAATTTGAAATCAGCATTAAGTTTGGGTTTAAAAGATGTGACTCAAAAACTTTGTCATAGTTTTTTTTATTATTATTATATGGCAAGGTAATTTCACGCGCTATGATTGGTCAATTTGCGGTCCATAACTTACGGTACGGACCGAAAAATGAAATGGTTCACTGAGTGTACGTACTTATGATCTTTTAAAACATTCAAATCTTGATCAAAAAAATATATTTCTGGATGAAAATCGTCGGAAAACCTTCAATAAATAATTAAAGATAACTGAAAGTCACTGGCATTTAATTTAAAACTTATCAAACAAGCGACAACTCTTTCATACAAGCGAAACTCTTTCGATCAAGGCTCTACACGGCACTAGTTGAGCGATTTTGTACGACTAGAAAAAACTAGAAAAACTAACTATGCTAAAGCTAAAACTATGTCAAACTACGAACTAAAGGATGGTGAACAGCGGYTAATTCAGTAAATGAAATAAAGATAGGTTTACCGTAGAATTAACGTAAATTTGTTATTTCAGTGAGCTAACAACGTCCAGTTTGAACTTATCTGAATCGATCGGGTGAAGAAGCCAGTATAGTTTCTTTCGTAAACGTTTTAAGCAGTTTTCTAGGCTCATCCGCTCTTGAAGTATGTCCATATTTCAGTAATATTTCACCCCCACTTGAATTTGAATGYATTTTTAGACAGGAGAGTTGGMAGTACCTTTTTTAATTGAGTCGAAAGTGTGCCTTCTTCATGACTTCAGCCATTGTACATATGGCGGCCAGCTTCAAACAGTCAAAACGTTGAAAATTGACGAAAACTATCCATGTTCAGCCAGCCGTAATTTTTCAAAGCTTCTCATTCATTTCTGGAGACAGTTTTTGAGTTTTTTTCTCAATAAAAGGCAGGAAAACAAGCGGAAGGCTGTAGTATTTTTCATCTTGGTTGTGAATATCTTGAAGTTTGAAGTACGACAGTTTTCTTCTCAATCTCATGTTGAGTTCKTGAGGTCTTCTTTTGATGCCTTTTTTGCTTTGCATTTATATGTTTTGCAAAATAAAGCCTCACTTTTGTTAACTAGTATTTCAGAAAACTTTAAACTTTAGCTAAATTCTTTCAAAGTAAACTAAAACTTCGCCTTTTGAGCCATTCAAACACTACATGACTTTTGGCACGTACAGGAAGCCCTTCCAATGCAATTCTCGTTTGACATGCGCTGTCAACTTTATTTTTTTTTGCTTTGCCTCTTTTTGATCTCAATGCCTTGCCATATAATAAATATCTTATTAACCTCGTTTGCTCGGTCCGTACCGTAAGTTATGGATCCTCGTTTTTTCCACTTTTTTATGGCCCGCGCGCTACGCGCTTGGGCCATAAGGCAGTGGAAAAAACTCGGTCYATAACTTACGGTACGGACCTCGCACTCGGTTAATAAGAGCTATATAGTAGGCAGCCACCTTTACAAAATTTTCAGTTTAATTCTAAAACAATTACTTACCCGTTTGAGTGTTTATTATGTTAAATTCTTATTTAAACGTGCCTTGCTGCCTTCTTTGGTTTGTTTTTGTTTTATAAATATCCAATTCCCAAGATTAGAAACGAGGACAATTATGTTATAAGACAACTACCTTCTGATTCTTGTTGTTTTTAATCGAAGAGAATCAAATCAAGCACTGCCGAACGAGATATATCTAACCAGGTGCTATTGTTTCTATTACCGCATCAATACCTAGTTTCATCCTTCTTAAGTGTTCCCGCTTAGTGCGGTCGGCAGCTTCAGACCAAGGATTCTTAAAAATTGCACAATGTCGCACTGGGCTCAAATTGCGGCTAATCAAAGAATCATTCAGTTTTTGAACAGGAATGTTTTCTTCATTTTTGAGTGGCTGGCGATGTGCTTGTGGTTGATAACCAGGAGTTTGCATGAGAGAGCTTTCTAAATCAAACGAGGTCAGTGAAATTTCCAACGGTGAAAGTAAGCTGCACTAGCTCAGCATAGTTTAATGGAGAGTGCTGAGCTAT